TAGAATGCTTTTTAGATGCATTATGTTTACTCGGTCCCTCACCCTCCCAGCTTGAGCAAGTTGGTCAACCAGCAGGATTAGCTTGAGCAAGCTGGTCCACCAGCACGTCCAGGCTGGTTGATCAGCATGTCCAACGTGGCTGACCAGCTAAACCATCAAAAAATAACCATCAAACAAAAACATACCCTAAGCTGGTCGAAGCTAAGTTGGCCTAAACAGCAGGTTGACCAGCTCAGGGTATGTTTTCATTTAGTACAGCTGAATGTCCAGCTTGCTAACAACTTAGAAACTTTACTCAAGCTAAAAAAGTAATGAAACAGCCCTTAAGGTGGTGTTGGGAATTTCCCAGAGGGGGAATAATGAGGCCAATTTTCCAAGATGAGAAGGACTTTTCCATAAACTTCCTTCACGTTGTCATTAAAAGCTAAAACAGAGGTATTTACATGATTTAAGTCATCATAGCCAAAATGTTAGAAAGGTTAGCCAAGCCATTAACCTTCACTTAGCAGCTATTTTGTCTGCGTTTTATGTTGCACATAAAATCAACACTAAGCTAATTAGCCAAATACGCTACGAGGCGTACAAAAAATGTAAACATATGGCTTCATTTAGAATGACTGAGTTATTATGTTTGAAAAGCTTTAAAAAGTCTTATTAAATCCAAAATAATTCATGTTTTGTTGTTATGGTCAGCAATGCTATGTTGTTCTCTGTGTTTGCTAGCCTTGATCTGTGATGGCTGGCTCTATTGCTTGGCCTGGAACCAGCAGTGGACGAACACAAAGAGAACCCTGTTGGGAAAAAAAGTGTTTTTTTATTGGTTCCTGGGGGTTTTGTAATGTGTTTTGGCATTTCTTGATGGGTTGATATCACAGCATAAAGGATCCTGTGACTGATTCCAGATGCATTTGATTGTTTTCTAATAGGATCTAAAGGTGTTCTACAGGAAACTAGTGGTATCTACTGGTAACCATTAAGCCAATTCCCATTAGGAAGCAAAACCATTGTGTTTTAATGCTAATTGTTGTTTATCAGCAGGGAAATATCAGCCTGTGTACCGTAGCAGTACTGTTACTCTAACATATATTTTAATACATTTCTGATTGGAGTTCTATGCACACGGACACACTGTAGAACTACACTGAGTCAAAGATGATTGGTGCTCTGTCTGTAAACAGGTTTATGAGTGTCACCATAACAACAATACAGCAGGTTCTTCAGACCGCAGACATAGCCTGAACCCGGCGCTCTCCACAAAGTACCGAATGTTTCTCAGAGAGCTTATTTAGCCTCTCTTCAACTTCTGAGAACAAACATGCACTCAGAGATGTCAGTTTGTTCACTCACATCATTATTCCCAGTATTTTTTTTTATTAACCTGGTTCTCAGTAAGGCTGGGAGTGAAAACTGGGTTTTGTCGCCAATTATTTTGTCTTATATAACTGATAAGATCTTTTTGTTTCACAATATGTACTGAGATCATCTATTTCTGTAGTTGATAAAAGGAAAAAAAGCCTTGAATGCAAATTAACTTCAGGGAGTGAACTCTGAAGGTGAGGTGAGCAGGAATAATAAAGATAAATGTCATTCAAGGTTTCATTTTATAATGTTCAGAATATATTGTTCAATAAAGTTCGGAATTACATTAGAGCTCCTTTTGACCAATTTGGGAATTGGATCCGGCCTTAATTTTACGAAAAGAATTCTGCTGACAGTTTTATAATGAATGATTTGGTTTAATCATTTTTCTGCATATGTTCTCATCTGATTCTGTGTTAGGCAGTTGATACAGAAACAAATCATTCTGAGCAAAAACAATTTTTTGAGGGTATTTTTAACCTGTTTTCTCACTAATTTAGTCGTGGCCTGTTCCACCCACTAGCTAGGCTTCCCAACCACATACTACCAAGCTGAAAGAGTGAATGTGCTTCCTCTTGGGCTGAACAATTTGGAAAAAATATCTAATTGCGATTTTTCTGACTAATATTTCGATTTAGGTTGTGATTGTCCACTTTTTTAGCTTGAGGCTTGAACCTTGAATGTGGTGTGCCAGACTGCGACAAAGGCCCAATCCCATTTCACCCCTCGCCCCTACCACTTAGCCCTACCTCTCCATTTTGCGTGTTCATGTTTAGGTGGAGGGTGTCCCGATTCCTGTTGAGATAGAGGGGTAGGGCGAAGTGTTAGGGCCACATGACCCTCCAAACGGAGGTTTTTCAGAGACTCCAAACAGAGTGATATGAGAAAAAAAGAAAAACCAGCAAGATGGAGAACAAGAGACCAAAGAAACCCACAAGTGTGAGAATTTTCTCTGTTAAAAATTACGATAACCACTGTATTATCTTAGTTTAATGTGGGTTTCAATGTATTATGGTCCTTTTCTTCATAACAAGCATTAAAAATCACTAGTAATGCTAATGTCTTGGTAGCTAGCTAGCTAACTTTCCTGTTCCACCTTAAATAGTCCAGCAGGACTGACTGCTGAAGCACCAGAATGTAATTGCTGCTCTATTTAAGGTGGAACAGGAAAATTCGAACAAGAAGCTGGTGAATATCTGACTTCAGCTTCATATCACTGAAGAATGGGTGATAATAAATAATTGCCCCCCTCTTTGAAGACATATGATGCCCTAAATGTAACTAAAGCCCAGCAGTGAGGAGCTGAACTTTACCCTCCTCTGCTGTCACTGCAGACTGGCAGGGTCGCCTACAGAGCAGCGCTGGTAGCTGTTAATGAAGTGATGCTCTTTTTATTTGAGGGTCCCATTGTGACATTGCCACATGAGAAGTCTTAAAATGGTTTAAATTAAAATCCTTGCAAGGTTAAACCTTTTTTGTGGGTGTTTACCGTATTAAATGATTGGAGTTTTTTTTTATTCTGTATTAGCCATGTATTATACGGGGGCCCTAACTGAAACTGAACTAAAAGAGTTGCATAGGCCCTTTAAGAGCTCAGCTGGAAAAGGGGGGGAGGAGTCACTGGTACAGGTGACTGGAACCAGGAAGAGGAAGGAGAGAAAAAGTTTGGCCATGTGGAAGTGAGGGTGGTGATGTGTTTGGGGTGAGAGGAGCAGACCCAAAGCCTACCACTCAACCTGGTAACTCATGAGCTCAGCCGAGGATCCATCTAAAAGGGCAAGACAAGCGCATGGAGGAACTAGAAGGTGGATTTCCTGTAACTGTCTTGGATGTAACTGGATGTCAGGCCTGCACCACCGGTGAGATCTATCCTGGATTTTTTCTTTTTTTGTTCACTGCAATGCATTGCTGAGGACTTGTGGGATTTGGGATTTTTTGTGACTTTGGGTTTTGGACTTGGTGGACTTTCAGAGTTGATGGACACTGGGCACTTATTGTGTATATAGGGGTTGTATATGTGTATGTGTTTGTTCCACTGATTTTTTTCAATTTTTTTGTCTCTCCTGTTTGGGCTTATTTGCAATCTCCTCTACTCTTATGCTTGGAGTGTATTGTCCTCGGACTTTTTCATAGGGAAAGATTTCAACCACTACCCTTGTAACTCAGTTTGAAGAGGCAAGATGACACTCGAAAACAAGAGGTAGGAGTAAAAATAAGAAATAGAATTGGGCCGAAGTCATGGTTATGATGTCATAACACATGGAGGTTTGGTTGCCCCTTCATTGGTCTAACTCATCTACTTGCAGTTCACAAGCTCAGTGTTATTAGGTTCATTTTTCCCATTTCAAACTTCAGACAATGTTGTATATATTTTATTTCATTCCAGTTCCGTAGGCAGGACGTCAGCCTAATTTGATTTAGAAAGCTATTATAACCTGCAGTTATGATTCAATTAAGGAGACATTCACATTCACATTCCAACAGATGACTCGGCCAGTAACCTCATTCTAAAACACAAACCTACTTCGAGCTAGCTAAGCTACCATGTTAGTCAGGTAGTTAGCCATTTGAAATAAAAGCCTAAGGCAACTGAACTAGCTAGCATGCTAATCTATAAATCCCCTCAATGTACCAAATACTCTAAAATGACCATCAACAGAACTAAAATCGTGAATGATGTAATGATTAAAGAACAAGCTTTTTAAGGCAGCTTTTGTGACACTGCCTTATTGATTAAGGATACCTGTTGCCTCTAAATTTGGCCAGTATAAGGCAGCTTAGTAGGCAGAATATTTACGATACCTAAAAATATAAATAAGATCACTGAAAGTCCTTCAATCTTTGGAAACTTTATTGAGGAATATCTGGAAAACCTTTGCAGGTTTAGAGAGGGTGACCCTTAGACAGGACCTTATAAATTTTATTAGTAAAAACAACATTTGAGCATTTAAAACTGTTGTTGTTTGTTGGGGTAATTTCCACTGCTAGTGCTAGACTAGACCTCTGTGCCTATGAAAGTGGCGTAAAGCATCGCTGGTCATCACTGAGAATTTGAACGCAGCGTCTGGGCCATGGCTGGTTCGAAAACATCGTAACATCATAGTTTGATTTCAAACATCACAACATTTCATGTTCACCTGCAAGGTAGACGACAACACTGATTTGAGGTAAGGTGCTCATAAAGAACCTCTGCCATTTGATAAGTCGATGATATGGCTGAGCAGATGTTTGTCCAATTGGCAACCGCATCCACAAAATGATTAGATCATAGTCACCAAAACACTTCAACATAATCCAAATGTCTCAATAAACACCACGTTTGACTACAGATTTGATCAGTCATTGTCTTGAACCTGACATTATAAGCATAGGACAGAAGAAAAGCGGCCATGAAATACTATCAAGTACAAGGACGTATACAAAATACATACATCTTGACTTGTACAAAATACAAAACTCGTTTTGTTCACAGACTGAACACAATTTATGTACACATTTGAAATTGGTTTCCGTTCTTCACATGGCTGACTTGAACTTTCATATCTGATGGGAGTGTTCTGTCCCAAATTTGGCCTTTTACCTTGGGATGGTCCAGAGATGCTCTGTTTGACCTTGCAAAATGGGCAGTGTTGTTTGGTCATGAATACAGTGGTTTAGCCCACCAAACATTGGTTTTAGGATAGAAATTCTTCACTTTTTGGCCTCAGACGATCCAGCTCCTTCTGTCAGGAAACAAAAAGAATGGGCCCAGTATGGAACCCAGGAATTTGGCACGAGCAAACGACACTCTTTCCAGGACTTATTGGTTCAGGTGTTAGTTCAAACACAGGTAACGCTTTCCTCCATGCCTTTTTTACAAGGATGAGGCTTTTTACTTGGAAGGGCCGGAGAGAAGTCTCCATTGCCCAGACTTCCAGCAAGTGGTAAATGCGTAGAATTGTAGGCTAATGGTGGAATAGTGTTGACCAGAATGAGCTGCAATGGTTTCTTCTCCTCGCGATACTGGCATCGTACGTACCTAGCAAAGGCTGAACGAAAGGTCTTGTTAAAGAGCGTGTAGACCAGCGGGTTCACAGCCGATGACAGATAGCCCACCCACACGAAGACATTGAGAAGTCCACCCATGACATCATCGTGGCAAGTGGCAGGCTGGCAGACCACCGCCAGAACGTTTGTGACAAAAAATGGGCACCACATAACCACAAAGAGGAAGAAGACCACACCCAGGACCTTGGAGGCCTTGCGCTCATTGCCAAGTGACTGCGCTGCACGGCGGCCAAATGGTGAGGATGTGACCCCAGTCTCTCGGCTCAGGGAGCGGCGCAGGAACAGCTTCTTCTCAGATGGTGAGAGGGCAGGTCCAGGCAAAAAGCTGAGGGTCAAACCGGTGCTCCACCGGGGACGTGGCACCAGCTGGTCCAGGCAGAGTGTGGCCTCGCTTTGGAGAGCACTGATGGTTAGGAAGTAGGTCACCACCATGATGGTCAGTGGCACAAAGAAGGCCACAAATGAGCCAATCAGCACAAAAGAGTTGTCTGTCAGGAAGCAGCTGCCATCCTTGAAGACTTTGGTGTGGTCGCGGAGGCCCAAGACTGGAATGGGCATAGAGATACCTGTCAAAGACAGAAGACAGTGGTTAGTATTTTGATTTCATTTCAGTTCATTCTAGTTTTATTCATGTAGTAATTTTGACAAAAGACTTTGTGCCAAAGCAACTTTACAGAAATATGTGTGTAACAGGTGATACAGTGATACAGATACAGTGATACAGGTGGTGGGACAGAGTGGGCCAAGGAGTTGGGATGAGGTGGGAGTTGAACGGGGAGTGGGATGCAGTGGGACATGAAGTTGGGACAAAATAGGACAGCAAGTGAGATGTGAGAGTTTGACATGAGCCTGGAGTGAGACAGGAGATGGGATTGAGTGGAACAGGAGGTGGAACATGAGGTGGGATGGAGTGGGACAGGTAATAAGAATACTTATAATAATCATCTTTATTTATAGATCACTTTTCATACCGGTGGCAGCTCAAAGTGCTTTACAGACAGGTGATAATGATTAACAGTAACAGAAGAAACTGTGAGTATTCATTTAAAATCATACAAGACAATGATATGGATCAAATTCAAATGATGAATACCAAAGAGCACAGAATTTTAATTAAACGCTTTTTCCAGTGATTATTAAAAGTATGCACTGAGCTTGACTGTCTAATAAAAGGTAGAATTTAGAAGCATAATAACTGAAAGAGGCCTCTCCACATTTTGGTACAAGAGGTGGGAAGTGTGCTGTGAGGTGAGAGTGGAACTTAAGGTAGGACAGGAAGTGAGACAGAGTGATACAAGAGGTGGGATGGGGTGGTACAGCAGTTGGGACAGAGTTGGAGAGTAAGTGGGATGGACTGATACAGGTAGTGGGATGGAGTGGGACAGAAGGCAGGACATAATGTGGGACAGGGTGAGACAGGAGGTAGTTCCAAGTGGGATATGAAATGGGGCAGAGTAGGAAAAGAGGTGGGATGGAGTGGGACAGCAGATGGAACATGAGGGGAAGGATTTGAACAGAAGGTGGAATGGAGTGGGACAGAAGGTGTAACATGAAGTGGGACGGAGTGGGACATGAGATCAAACATGAGGTGGTACAGGAGGTGAAACATGAGGAGGTGAAACAAGAAATGGGATGGAGAGGGACAGGAGGTGAAACAAGTGGTGAGATGAAATTGGATATGAGATGAAACAAGAGGTAGGATGGAGTCAGGAGCCTGGAGACAGGAGGTGAAACAAGAGGTGGGACGGAGTAGGACGAGGTGGAATGGAGTGGTAAAGTGTGAAAAAAGAGGTGAGATGACATGGGATATGAAATAAAACATGAGATAGGACAGACTAGGACAGGAGCTGGAACATGAGTTGGGATGGAGTGGGACAGGTGGTGAAACAAGAGGTGGGACAGAGTGGCACAGGAGGTGGAACATGAGTTGGGATGGAGTGGGACAGAGTGGGACAGGAGGTGAAACATGAGTTGGGATGTAGTGGGACAGGAGGTGAAACAAGACTTGGGACGGAGTGGGACAGGAGGTGAAACAAGAGGTGGGATGGAGTGGGACAGGTGGTGAAACGAGGTGGGATGGAGTGGGACAGAGTGGGACAGGAGGCGAAACATGAGTTGGGATGGAGTGGGACAGGAGGTGAAACAAGAGGTGGGACAGAGTGGGACAGGAGGTGAAACAAGAGGTGGGACAGAGTGGGACAGGAGGTGAAACAAGAGGTGGGACGGAGTGAGAGAGGAGGTGAAACAAAAGGTGAGACGAAATGGGATATGAGATAAAACATGAGGTAGGACAGACTGGGACAGGAGGTGAAACGTGAGGTGGGACAGCAGGTGGAACACAGCAGGACAGGAGGTGGGATGGAGTTAGTAATGCAACATTGACTCTACTAGTTTCTTAAAATCAGGGTAGCTTCTCAGTAAAGTGAACAGTTTTCTCACATTGGCGATTTCTGTTCATGACATTATAAACCGATCCGCTAAATATTACTCTACACACGGATTTTCACTGACACTAATAAATCTACACTCAATCTCAGCCAGTACATCCACCAGCATATCAGTCTGGCTCCGCTTATATAATCTCTACCCTAAGCTGTACTCAAACGTGATCCGCATACATGACTCGCGGTGCATAATGCTTTTAGGTCCCTCATATCATATTCACCTTAAAGCACATCTTACATTATGTTAAATTATTCCTCTCTCCTTGTTCACTGAGACAAATGGAGAAAATGGAGATACTAAACTTTTTCAATTATACAGAAAAGAGAAACAAAATTAAACATGTATGTGTTTGGAATTTCCTTTTATGTGGTATTAATGAAATGCCACAAGATGTTATGAGAAGCCAAACTAGTATTTACCACAATATATTTGAAAATATTTTCTAATATTTTCTATTTAGATTGTGGAATATATTGACAGCATACTGCAAATTATTTTCTATTTTCATACAGGGATTTCTCTCAGGCGCAGAGCAATAAAAACCCAGCCAGGTGCATTTAGCGAGTCTGCAGCAAAAGCTTAAGTTAGGCCTATTCAGTCTGACACGTTCTGAGCTGTATGAAGGAGCTCCAGGCCATTAATGGCCTTATAATGGAGTAGCAGGACTTTAAAATCCATTCTAAATTAAACAGAAAGCCAGGGCATATTGGCCAAGGCGAGCATAATATGTTCCCCCCATTTTTCCTAGTCAGCACTCCACACTGTCACCCAGTAAACAGGGAGCTAGAAAAGCCAAGGTAAGTGAAAAATACAGCTATAGGAAAGATACGGGTCTGATTATTAGCATATGTGTAAGAAGGAACCAGGGAATGTTTATAGCATTCAAAACCAGCAGAATATTAATAGTTAATCACAATTAGACATAACACAACATAGCATAACATAACAAAAGTTGGATATTAAATGGGAATTCTACCAATTTTTTTTTGTTGAACTATTAATTTAATTTTAATTTTAATTTTTTATTTGTCACTATGCAAAACTTTGAAAATCTCCAGTCAAATGACGTGTTTTATTGATTTTCCAAGCAAAAAATAAGTTTACACATCCTCTATAGGTAGGAAACTTCAATATATTGCATTTTTCTGCATATGTTTATGGACAATTTCTATTCATTTGCTGAATTTATCATATCGGAAGAAGTAAAACGTGTGCCATAACTTTTGCACAGCCCACATTTTATGTTGTATTTTTTCCAATATGTTTAATTCTGCATATAAACAGTAACTGTGCATTAAAATGTGCAGAAGTTTGTTCTCTTTAATGGATGTGTTCATTTATTTTTACATATAAAGGAGGTGGAACATGAGGAAGGACAGCCTGGGACAGGAGGTAAAATGTGAGTTAGAACAGAGTGGGACAGGGGGTGAAACAAAAGGTGAGATGGAGTGGGACAGGAGGTAGAACAGAGTGCGACGGGGGTGGAACAAGAGGTGGAACAAAGTGCGAAAGGAGGTGGAACAAGAGGTGGAATGGAGTGGTTTGTGGTACAGAAGGTGGTTAAATTCAGCACCTAAACAGTAACTGTGCATTAAAATGTGCAGAAGTTTGTTCTCTCTAAAGGATGAGTTCACTTATTTTCACATAAAAAGGAGGTGGAACACAGGGTACGACAGACTGGGACATGAGATAACACATGAGGTGGGACAGAGTAGGACAGGAGGTGGAACAAGAGGTGGAACGGAGTGAGACAGGAGGTGGAGCAAAAGGTGGGATGGAGTGGGACAGGAGGTGGAACAAGAGGTGGGATGGAGTGGGACAGGAGGTGGAACAAGAGGTGGGATAGAGTGGGACAGGAGGTGGAACAGAGTGGGACAGGAGGTGGAACAAGAGGTGGAACGGAGTGCGACAGGAGGTGGAACAAGAGTTGGGATGGAGTGGGACAGGAGGTGGAACGGATTGCGACAGGAGGTGGAACAAGAGGTGGGATGGAGTGGAACAGGAGGTGGGGCGATATGGGATATGAGATGACATATGAGGTGGGACAGGTATCACTGCTGTTGGAACAAAACCTTGTATCTCCAAAATGGTAATTTTACAGGAGAAGGAAAAAGCCTACTTGACTTTTAATGTAGGTCAATGGAACCAGACATCTTTCCAAGTCATTCTGGGTCATTTCTTTTGGTCCATTCATCATGAAATTTACACACAATATAAAGGCCAACAGGTATTATTAATTATGTAAAAAACTGAAAAATAACAAAAATGGAGATACAAGGTTTTGTTCTGACAGCAGCGATATATATATATATATATATATATATATATATATATATATATATATATATATATATATATATAATTTAGTTGAACATTGCTGTAACTCTGTGGGAGAAGATATCGGTGGCCGAGGCTATTACACCATAAAATTTCATACTCGCGCGTCAGGATTCCTGTGTGTGTGTGTGTTAGCATGACTCTGGCTGTATGTAATTAAGGAGCTAACCTGAAGCTCATGCCCATCACGAATAGCTTATCAGGGCTGGAATGAGTTTGGCAGTGTAATGGAAAAACGCACTGATAGACCCAGATGTTTCCTACCTCACATGTGTCCCTCCTAGATAAACTCCCTCTCTCCCTCTCTCTTTCTCTTTTTAGCTCTCCTGCTGTCTCTCCTTCAGTGCACATACAGTGTGAAACAGTGGCGAACTGTGACTATTAGAGCCGGGACTTCAGTTTGGGCCAAAAATGTCTAAACTTAAACAAAAATGAGAAAAAATATACCTCAACATCAATGCATCAATTTGTACTAGCCCCTCTATGGGATTTCCACAGTGTGGTATTGCTAAACCCGTGGCAATTTACATTAACATTTTTGGGTTGTTGTAGATTAAATGTGGACATTTGAAGCTTGAAGCATTTTTAAAGTGACTCCTTCAGTGAAGAGGCTTTATGCTGCACTGAAATGGTGTCGGAAACTGGAAATTTTCCCACTTGTAAATTGCACTCAAACGACCGACAAAGTCGTATTTATATCTGGTAAACTTGGGATTCTAGATGATACGTGAACACGAGTTGACAATGTGACGTATAATGCGACCTTAAACCTTTAACAAGAGGG